AGATGTTGAAATATTCTGAGGTATGGATAAATATGTGATTATAACAGCTCATCTTACACCTGTTTTAAAACCAGATTTAAATTCTTTGACACATGTAGAGGTATTCATCATCGTGATTTATTGAACTATTTTAAACTCCGTAGTTCTAAAAAGGAAAAGATGGACAGAATAGAAACCTGCACTGTCTCATAATTGGTCATGAATAGATGGACAGAACAATGACATCTGACTTTATGTTTCTTGATTTGTCATAGGCTGAATTTTTCTTAAGGAAATACTATAAATTGAACAAGTTTTGAGCCCTCTGATTTTATGTATAAACGGCATGATGATGACTAATATATGTTATGAAAAGGTGATTTTTTTATCAAAGACCACACTCACGTTACACGGTTTGACCTCATCTGCTCTTGGTTTTTTTGGAACTGTCAAACCTCTCCTGCTCTTGGTTTAGCAGAGGCATTTGTGCCCTATCTAAAGTGAACTCCTCTGTGAATTGTTCCATGTCCTACATCTTCTTTAAGCATTTTTTGAGCATACACTATAATCAATACCAAGACCGCTTTGTCTTAAATCTTCTACTCTTGATTTTTTGGTAACTGTCTGAAATCTAATGCCATGTAATTTGAAATCTAACATGTGAGGGCTCTGCAATTAAACATTTTATAAATGCAACAACGACAACACAACTTGGTGGGATGCATAGAAATGTATTTACCAAAGTTTAAACATGCACAACTAAATAACCTATTAGGTAATGTGAAACTGACACAACAATGAGAGATGCACTGCCTGAATAATACTGCTCCTGAATTTTTCTTTTTCCTCCTGTGGATTTAAAATGATGGTTTAGAATGGCAGCTTCTTCTCAGGTTTAAAGACATTCTTTGGACTTCTAAAAAATTCAGTAGTATGCTCCTTTGTACTGTCTGAAACTGTCTGCCCTTAAATTTGGACTTGCCCTGCAATATGTTATAAATACAAAATGAAAACATTGAGACATATAACATTGGTTTTTGCTGCTTGCTTTACTTACTAATGATTATTGTAATTGTTCATACAGAATCTGCCGAGTGGAGACATAAAACCCGATGTCTTTAATAGACTCTTGATAGATAAGTCGTATCTTTTTAAAGTTGATGTTAGGCGTTCTCAGTTCAATGACTTTGATCCTACCTATAATGTCATTGACATTTGTTTTGATGAAAGAACAATCTCGCGATTCAAGGAAAGGCATGCAACATTTTTCTCCGTCCAGGTTTGTGAACATTATTAATCGAATGTAAATATCACTTAGTGAAAATTTTGTTTTGTTACTAATAAGACATAATTTTAAGATGCAAATAAAATGCTTAATGGGTAAATTATTATTAATAGACTGATGTACTTTGGGACTTTCAACTCGAGAAAAATCATCACAGCATACCTTCTCCATGGGCGAGGCATCATCATGTGTCAAGGTTAGGACTCTAAAAAAATGCACAAGTAATTTAACTTTTGCTCGATTTTTTAATTTTTTGGCATGGCATATGTATCTTGCATTAAATTCTTGGTGCTTTATCTTACAGAATTTGATTGAAGATTTTGTGCAATCAAAGGATAATCAGTTTGAACGACTAGGAGATGATATCACCGACTCTAATATTGGCAAAAGAATCGAAGAGGTTGAATCTGACTATGCAGACGGTCATGAACCGAGCAAGAAGATGAAGACCATTAAGATTGAGAAAATTTAAGACTAGAAGTATTAAGTTAGATGGAGTACTATTCAGTTTTTGGGATTAGATTTACGTGTTAGACATTTTATAATTTATCATTTTTGATGACTTTGGTGTTTGAAATTAAAAATTTGAAATTTTCATTCATTTTGTTTTTTTAAATAAGATTGCATGTTTGAATAATTTATACTCAGTTCAATGTCATTACACATATTTTATACTTTGACCTGTTATATAGTTCATAATATTCATTAATGTTACACTCATATTCTATATATTGACGGAGTATATTATTATATTGAATAAATCATTCAATATAAGTATATCTTAAAGAAATTACTAATGGAGGTACTAAGATTGATTGTTTTGGTTCAACGAGCTAAAAAAATGTGTTTAATAATTACAATTAGGAGCAAAACTTGGTAACATGTAAAGACCTAAAAAAACCATACGTATAGTTTTTTAAGAAACAAACAGTATTTATTTTAAAAACTTGGCTTTTTTACTTATCCTTTTTATTTCTAAATTCGAAAGTAATACACTAAATAAAATGTGTCATTATGATTTATTACACCATTGCATATATTATTTATGATTGACCATCTCAAATGAGTGTTATACGGTTTTACGACGTAGATGTATGTAAATGAAGAAAACAATTTTATACGAAGTGTGCTCAAAATTACAGATTAATTTCTTCCATTATTCATTGCAAGTAATTGTGATCTAAAAAAATTATAATCAACGTGTTACGAGATCTTACGAAAAGTATTATGATTGTGTTAATATCTTTCAGAAACGTGATTGTTTTAGATTATAATAATTCTCACCACTAAATACTATCATTAGGTTCAATATTACCAAAAAAAATCATACCAGCATGTGAGAAATGTTATTTCATTTTTTAGCGTGCCCATAAAAAGTACTACCTCCAACCTTTACTTTGTGTTACACTCTGATTAAACTTGATACTTTTTTTAAAATATTTTTTGAAGATTGTTACGAAATCCAGGTAATGTATTTTTTTCTTATTTTATTATTTTTTCCATTTCCAGTTGTTGTGTACACAAAATTGATATTATATTTTTAATTTTTTTTACGTATTTACAATGATTCCAACTTAATCACGTGCGTTGGATTGAATCTTATAAAATTACTGTGTTAGTTATTGTTGTTAATAATGGAGCATTCGCATATTTTACTAAAAAAAATCTATGTACATAGAACGTATTTATTTAATGAACTATATTTGTGTGTTTTTTGTTTGGTTAAAAATATGGATTTTTATTTAATATATTCATCACTTAACTTAACGCGTCATGTGTTTTGCAGATCTTGACATTTCGCCAAGTGATCTACAAAATTTATGCTTGATTGAGATTGAAAAGTTGCTGAATTCAAATAGACGCTCTTTGAAAGAGTTTGGTGGCATGCCATTTCCAGTTGACGACCCGCTGAATGTGTTTCAAAATAATTTCTTGGTCGAAGAGCTGAACTATGACAAAGAAAAGTTGTCCACTGATCTCAAAGAATATTTATCCACGATGAATGACGATCAGAGAAAAATATATGATGAGATAATGGAAGCGGTGGCAGCTGCGAGAGGAGGTTTTTATTTTGTGTATGGTTATGGGGGAACTGGAAAAACATTTCTTTGGAAATCATTATCTGCTGCGCTTAGATCGACTGGTAAGATTGTATTAAATGTTGCATCCAGTGGAATTGCAGCTTTGCTATTGCCAGGTGGTAGGACAGCGCATTCAAGGTTCTCGATCCCTTTAGTGCTAACTGAATGTTCAACGTGTGCGATCAAACAAGGAAGTCCAAAGGCAGAATTAATTCAACAGGCAAGTCTCATAATATGGGATGAAGCGTGTATGATGAATAAATTTGC